TTTGCCGCGCTCCCAAGAGTGCCAGGCCCACACACCGCTTTGCCTCAAGGCTTGTTTTCGGCACATGTACTGATGCAGATGAAAACATCCAGAAATGCCCTTCACCGAGGGTTCTGTGTGACGGGGAGCCCCAGTGTCTCCACACTGTGTTCCAGCCAAACAGTTCCTTCCTGCCGTGTGCAGGCATCACCCTGCCAGGCAGCAGTGAGATCATTTGTCTCTGCCACTGGCATTTTCCACTCCTACTTTTGTCCATCTGTTTTCTCCCTGTGCCCCAGAGGAGGATGTGTGCAGGCCACAATTTCAGCTCTTTTCTGGGCATGAGTCCCCTCCATGCAAAGCAGGCAGGGGGTCCCCACAGCAGCCCCCCACGATCCCTCAACCTTGTCCCTGTACCTGCTGCTCATCCAATGCTCATCAGACCATGCAGACCCTCCCCAGCACCCTGCCTTCAACAACAGGCAGGTGCAGGGGCAAGGAGCAGCACATAGGGACAGGGTGAAAAGAGGGTTGTACCTGCCCCCCTTTATTCTCCCAGTAAACCTGGGCAGATGTCACTGTGTGTTTAATGACATGGGACTTTTCTTCCCTGAATGTTTCTAATGGCTTCCTGGGGTGAGGCACCCCCTCAGCACTGGTGGCATCCTGCAGCGAGGACCTTCACCGCCCATCTCTGCGCTCCCTTTCGCTTGTCGCAGCGGTTTCACCTGCAGCTCCTTGGCTGGGCGTGTGGGTGCGTGCTGGTAAGATGGGATGGCGAGGAGCGGGCTGGTGCGGCAGAGATCAGCCCAGGCATCCGGGTCCCAGCTGGCTGCTGGAGAGAGCAGAGAGGTGTTGAGGCAAGGGAGGTGCTGGGCCAGCCTTTGATGTATGAGGAGCAATTTGGAGACTCACAGCCAATGGCTGCAGTGCTTGCTGGTGATGGGAGACTATCTTCTCTATCCATCCTCTTCATGCTGTTCCAGAGCTTAAATCTTTAACTAGTCTCCTTGCTTTCCCAGCTGTGCCTCTCAACCTTCTCTCTTCCTCCCTCCCCTGCTTAGGCCACATCCCTGCTGGGGCTGGGTGACCAGTCCTGGACCTCCCCACCTCCAAGAAGGTGTCAGTACAGCTTAGATTTACACAGTGGCTTGTCCTGTTCCTCAATCATCTCCTGCTTCTCATGCTGCATCTGCCTCCTTTGGCATCTGCTGCATGTGGATGAGAAGCTTTAGAAGATGTCTGCACAATGAGCTCCCTCAGTGATCTTCCTTCCCTTTTCTCTCTCTCAGCCACTCATTTATCCAAGTGAGGATCTTCCTCCCTTGGCTGTGACAACTTGTCTCCTGCAAGCTTTGATGAAGACCCTTCTCAGCTGACCAGGAGATGCCCATATCTTGTTGAGTCCTCCAGAAACTGTATTTCTGAGGTGTGATTTTCCTGTGCAAAAGTTGGATTTGGTCTCCCCTGTGACATAATCTGTCCATAGATCAACCAGGTCCGCCATTTATTACAGCCTTTGTGAGTATCTTCCCGCACTGCATAGTAGATCTACCTGTCTGCAGTCTCTTTACCTCTGACAACCTCTTTTAAAAAACAGTATATTTGCTTCTTCTAGTCTTCTGGTGAAAACCAGGGGTAGCAAAGGTGAGTCTAAGCAGCAGACAACATGCTGCAGTGAAACGTTAGTTTCACACCTGATTTGGTTTGACTGGAAATTCCATCTCCTCTGTCTTACTACTCACTTGCACTTCTGTGTTGGTAGGATGGACCTTTTCAAGTGTTTGCAAAAGAGACTGTCTGGATGGGGATCCACCACAGCTCCTCCTCAGCCAAGGCAGATGCAGAGTTCCTTCACTTTTCTATCACGTTACTTTCTTTGAATACTCACTCTGAATTTGGCTACTGGTCGAACATTTTCTAGGGTTAAATTCCTTCTCCTGGTGCCTTTAAGGAAAGGAATATTTGTAAGTGCAAATTCTGGTGTCTGTTGCTTGTCTTATGTTGTTGCCAGTTAATTTACCAGAGCTCATTTTGCTGTCTTCATGTGGATGTGGCTTCAGCAAGTTTAACAACATTTATCTTATTTCTGATCACCTTCTTTAAATTGGTCTAATTGCACTGGCTTCCATTTAGGCTTTCCTTTTGTAACATTGTTCAGGGTTTGTATTTGCTAATATCAGCTTAAGCGCTCACAGTGATGCTAAGCTGGTCTTTCCAGACAATCTCTGTGCCATATGTGATATTTAATCCTCTTGACTTTCCATTTTTTCCCCTTTCAAAAATAAATTGCGGCTGTATTGGATCATTTCTGGTTCTAATCATAGCACTGGCTGTCACGACAATGGTGTTTTGATTTTAGCATGAGCCAGGTCTCGCTTGCTGCTCAGAGCGTGTGGGCTCTTGGCCACCACAAAAACCCGAGCCCACAGG